AAGACTCCCAATTGGAGTGAATTGCTCCCCGCTTAACATGGACGCTAGGGTTCCACCCCCATAAAACGAATTGCAAGGACCCAATCCGCATGGTTGTCATCCTTGGCTAGGTCCTCCATTAGAAAGGCTAAACGGGGGTGAGGGCAAGTTAAACCTTAAACTTAAAACTGAACCCTAAATGGGGCAAATTAAGCCAAAGGCTGGACAGAGACCAGAAAGTGCATTCTGGGCAAACTATGTGCTGCGGGCTTTGTTGCTACACTTCTTCCGTATTGCTACTCTTGCGTTGTTTGACGGCCTTGACTCTGTCGCGATCTGGTGCGGCACCCTTCGGGGACAGGTCTTTCATGGGGTATGACTGGGCCTGACTACACCGCCATGGCACCAGATCGGCGCTGAATCCCGGTCGGCCTGCAAGTATCAGCTATGTTTGCGTTACGGTGGTTTGGTACAGTTGTTGGCAGTGGTTTTACTGCAGGCGGTGTGCTCTCTGGCATTTCTCTGGCATTTCTCTGGCATTTTTCATGGCATGCAAAAAGAGAGGCTTGGTTTACTGCTTTCGCTTCTTCGGCAGGTCCAGGGTCTAGCGTGTAGAATAAGCGTACCCCTTTTTCTGCAGTCTATTTGAGTAGGGGAACCCTCCCCCAGAAAAGTTTAAAAAAGGGTAAAAGGGCACTACTGGCAGACCTAGTTGGGTAATCCATGGTGGCCAGATCAACTCCCATTCTGTTAATGGCGGTTGAATACCATGCCCCGAGGAATCTCTCCTGTTGGTTCGTTTCGAAAAGCCAGTCTTGGCAACCGCGATGGAATGTGGCTGTGGCTCAAGAGCCGGTACCAAAATGGATCCCTGGTGAATGGAACCATGGTGGCCAAAACCTGCGGTTTGCCCCCCCCCCCGTTGAAAATGTTGAGCCACACCCATGTGTCTTAATCGAAAATAAACATGCTCATGTCAACACTACCCTTTCCAACCTTCGTCAGATTCTCAAAGCAGAAGACAAGCTTGGCAACGCTAGGAACCCTGCCAGCTCGCCCCGCGAGGCCCGCGAGGCCAGTACGAAAGGAACTCAAGCGTTGGTGCAATCCAGACTATGGGGTGAGTAAGGGGGGGCTGTGTCTTGAAGGAACTATGATATACCCAATGCTTCAAGTTGCCACTATAGTTGGTCCCGGTTACCTATGATTGGAAGAACATGGATAGAAAGACAAATGCCCGCAACACGCAAAAAACACATGACATAGAATAGAAAGTTTTAAATAAGGGGGTCGCTTGCAACAAACTATCCAAGACAATCATGTTCAGAATGCCCCTGGCTACCTGCAATAACTGGTTGAAGAAACCCAAAAGGAACAGCCATCACCCCAAAATGGATATGGGGCTGGGGTATTTTTTGGGGGGGAACTCGGGGGAAACCCCCCCAACAAATATATATATATATACATATATATACATATATATAGATATATGATGGTTTTGATGTTGGTTTCGCTTTGAAGCCAAATTAAAGGGGGGTGCCCAAAGAAGCTCGGAACCAGTCGGCAGAAGAAACTATCGCAACCGCTGGGATCCCCAGCCGTAGATCTGAAGCGATTGGCCTCGGCTCATGACCAATGGGCTGTTCCCAGGTGCCCTGAAAATAAACTTTTAGCGGTTTAGTGCAAACTACCTCAAGACCCTGAAAACCGGGCATTGCGCTGAACCACCAAGAACATCCTGTCTGGTGAATCGGGTATAAAACCCATTTAAATCAGTGGAACCCATCTGTTTCCCATAAACTAGAAATGATGGCCGTGGGCTTCTCCCGTATGGAATGCTCAACATAGGATGGTTCTTGAGTGTTTGGCTTCCCAAGCTGCAAACACACACACACACACACATGTGCCGAGCCCCTGTCTGCATACTACATACTGAACAATTCAATAGTTTATTTAGCATGTGAAGGGTACTAGGAACCTTTTGACTTTGGAAGACCTCTTCTGCAGGTTTCCAGGTAAGCCAAGCAAACTTGGCGCAAGCACTCAAAGAAAAACCATTGCCCAGTGCCCACAAAGAAAGACCGTGCTGTCGGATCAAGATGTCAACGACTTTGCAAGTGAAAGCACTAGGAAACCGCAAGACGGATCTACAGTCTACGGCATGGTACTCAAAGCAAAGAAAACCAAGAAGCCCCTTTTGCAGAAAAAGAGTCAACTCTGAAGGGTGCTGTTTCGAAAAAGGAAATGCCAAACCAACTACCAGTAACCACGAGACCATGTGGCTATTGTCTCAACAACACATATTACGCTTTGCTGGTGAGGTGAGGAAACTCGCACGTGCCCGAACAGTTGAAGGTCAAGACTCCGACACAAAAGCTTTTTTTTTTTGTGAATGGGGTGGCTCAGTCCCGCTTTCTGTCCTCAAGAAAAGATCCCTTGTACGGGGAATCCCTATCGCCCCGAGCGAAAAAAAAACAATCGTTTGGGACAAACAAACCATGTTCTTAGGGTGTCCCCGGTTGTCCTCTTCGGCCCTTTTTTGTCTCCAGGTTGGCTGCCCCTTTTCTTGGCCCCCTAATTACTCGGGGTGAGGAGAAATCGCTGGCTTAGAATTAGCTTTGGTCGATTCTAATTCAGTCTTCAAGTCTGCATGTCGGGTATTGAACAAAAAAGACTGCTTACTATAACGGCCTCTTTTTTTAGGGGGTGAGGATTAGCCAGTGCGCAAGCTGGGACTCACTGGAACGCCGAAATTGATGCTGGCAAAACAGGGAACTCACTGGACCCAAATGAGTCACAATCAACACCCGGTATTAAAATGGTCTACCCAGACCCATGCTTCAAGAATTAAGAAGGCGGCCGCAACTATTTCTGGCTGGGACTGCCCCTTACTAACCTTCATCTACCCGGGTTTTGATTGTGGCTCAAATGGTAAGAAATGTGATTGCTCGTACCTGGACCCTCAAAATCCTAAAAAGATGGGGGCTATTGCTCAACTGATGTCCAGGTAGGTGCTGGGATATGTTCCGCTCGCTTTGGGGCATCGATGGATGGAGGGATGGGATGGCCGCCTGAAGCACTAACTAACACCCAAGCCGAGAGGCAAAAGAAGCCGACGCAGGCCGGGTCGGGGGGCTGGGCGCCGCCTCGAAAATTTTCGCAGCTGGCAAGAGGACTGGCGCGATAGTCCAGTCTTGGTGCGACAATGTGGACCCCGGAATAATAACCCCCTGAGTATTCATGTGGGGGTACTTCTGCCTGGGTTTAGCGGTTGGAATCAGACCACCACTTTTGGAGGGGAACACCCTTCTATTAATACGCTGTGGTGGATTAAAATGGGGTCAACATTGGGGAATGACAACGAGTCCGTGTGTGAATGCCTCGGTTTTTGGGGATTCCCGAAAAAAAAAGGAAGCCAAATGGGAAGGAGGGCTAGGGATCATTCCCTCCTGAGAGCCAGCAAGTCTTTGGGACCCCTACCCACGTTTGAACCCGCCAGAGAAATGGCCCCCTTCAAAGGAAAATGGTCCAACCTGGACGTGGAAACGTCAGGTTTCATATTTGGGGATTGGAGGGAAACCTTTTTGGGCTGGCTTTAAAGGGAAAACCAGAAGGCACCCCCAGTGCCTTTTGTTCCCAGTCCTTCGGAGTGGTTCGGAGCAGGCAGTCATTTTCAGGCTTCCCCAACAGGACACACCTAAATCATCAGGGCCGCCCTGCTACTGCATTATTTGTCCTGACCAAGGGCCCTGCGTAAATCGTATAAAATTGAGCTCCTTCATGGCTGTGGATCCCTTCCCCAAAATGCCAGCTACGGGGCGGGGAAAACGTCATCTGAAGGTTCTTCCAGAACCTGGGAAGAAAAAACCTACTTAAATACTCCCAACAACGAGTTGTTTATGTGTGTTTGGAGGTGGCACCAAGAGTGACGCGAGCTTGGCATGTTGGACTAGTGCTTGGTTTATACTTGATTGTCCTGCGCTGGGTCGAAAAAAGTCATCACGGGAGCCAGACGCCAGTAGCGGCGATCCTTCCCCGTCGGGAAGAAGAACATGCGCTCTGACAAATTGAAGCGCGAGGTTTCCAAAAACCGCTCGTCACAAGCCCGCAAAACCGATGGGCCATTCAAAACCGATGGGCCATTACATGGTGCCCTAACCCGGTGGAAGCACTCGATTGAACAGATGGGATATGGCGGTGGAACCCTTGGTTTTCCAGGGATGCCTCCAGGCATCCGTTGGGAGGGTGTCCCGCCCGTGACCCTCGTTTCCAGGAAAAAACATGACAATCCCATCTTTTCCAGTCGAGGAATGCATCCAGCAATTGTGTTTGGGGTCACGCGCAAATGCGACGGTCGCCTCAAGTTGGTGTATTTTTGCTCTTAGGGTTTGCCCTTCTTCTTTGGTGCTATGATCCACCACTGTTCACAGGTCAGCACAACATCTATATTTGTTGTTGTCCCCGTTTACCCCGTGCAACCAACATCCAAACAAAACAAACGAAGAAAATACCTACTTTCTACACATAATGGGAAAAAGGATATCCGTCAGTTCGCATGGGCTTCCTTTTGCCCTTAGGGTGTACCCTTCTTCTTTGGTGCTGTCATCCAACAGAAACAAGGACCACTTTAATTGCCAGTGTTCACAGGTCAGCACAACATCTATATTGTTGTAATTCCCGATTACCCCGTGCAACCAACATCCAAACAAAACAAACGAAGAAAACACCGACTTTCTACACATAATGGGCAAAGGATATTCGTCAGTCCGCATGGGCTTCCAGTTGGAGTTTGCAATGTGCAGAAGAGAGGGTCCCTTTGCCAGGGTGCCACTTTTGGACGGCAAGGTAGACTTAAACCCAGATTGGTTTCCCTTTGGGAAATCAACCACTCCTGGGTTTAAGTCTATTGCGCAGTCAAAAAGCGGAATCCTGCCGTCCCTGAACCCTTTTTCCCACCACCAGAAGGGGTGATCTTCTTTTTTGGTACAGGCTGGCCTTCGAACGATCTCCAGCTTCAGGCTTCAGAAGGATCGAAATTCCGGCCTGAAGCCCATTTTGACCACAAGTGAGTCACAATCAACACTTGTTGTGAAACATGCTCTAGCCAAACCAGTATGAAGAACTACAAGACACCGAATTCTGGTTGGGACTGTCCCTTACGAACCTTCATTGACCTCAAATGACGAGTCCATACCGTTAGATGAGATATAATTATTGGAAGGCAGCCCTTTTTTGAGGTCCAAAAAGGCCATGGGTTCAAAACAAAAAACTACACAATCGGTCGTACCCCGAGGCTCCCTGCCGGTGGCTTCCCAGTCGGGCCAGGCCGGGAGTCCTCTCGGGACTGTGAGTTGAGGGAAAACTCATCGGTCTTCTTTTCTGGGGTTCACTGTCTGTCTGTTTATATATATATATATATATCACGAGATGGAAACCTCCAGGCATGGCGATGTTTTGCCTGCGTGTGACACTTAGCATTGCAAAGCAGAACATAGCCCTGCGGCCCGCTGGAGGTATTGATGGAACTTGTCACTATGTTTTCTACTCAATGCATACGGATTTGGCCACGCAAAACCAGAGGAAAGGCATGATCTGTGCCGTTGCAGCAGAATCATCAGTACCATCATGCGGCCTCCCTCCATAGCACGCCAAACCCAAGGACGCACCTCGGGGCATCCCCAGCGAGCACATTAGCGCATCGTGCTGCTGTCAATACACCTCGTGGGTCAATCAGCCCACGGCGGGCGCGTTGGCCAAGAAGATGCAAGCGCAACTGCCGCGAAGAGGGCGATCGGTGGGAGGGCGTTCGCCATTCCCATGGCAGAAGCGCTCTGGCAGTGCGCCCCACACCCGGCCAGCAGTGTGTAGAGATCTACTGATCTCCCGGATAGGGCCAGCCATTCCTCGATCTTGTTCGCGGTAATTACCGCTCCTCTTGTGTTTGGTGAGGTTAGGACCTGCAAACACGAAGAAAATTGACATGTCCAGGGCCCCAAGCCTCAGGTATGTCTTTTTGCGTGCAATTCTTTAAGCATGGGCTTTTATGTCTCTTTCATCCAAAAAACGCGTACGGGTCTGGCATGCCGATGCCTGAAACACGCAACATTATTGAACCACAAGACACCGACAGTGTTTTTGACCATGCACCTTGCAGCAGTTTCAGCATGTCGTGGCCTCCCCTCCAGACACGCCAAAAAACAAAAAAAACAAGAATAAACCTTGGCCCATCCCAGCGAGCACATTAGGGCATTGTCTCGCTGTCATACGGGCGCGTTGGCCAAGAAGATGCAAGCGCAACTGCGGCGTGGCCAAAGCAAATATGCAGTGCGCCCCACACCGGGCCAGCACTGTGCGAGATCTATTGATCTCCTGGATAGGGACAATTATTCTTCAGAGTGATCTTCTTGTCTACGCTTGCTTTGGGGGTAGGTACGTCATGTAGAAAGTCATGTTTTGAAAGTATTTGGAATGGCAAAGCGCAACGTTGCTCTGTGGATCGAGGTACTTTCCCATCATGCATCTTCATACATATAAGAAGGGGTGCATACGCAACACTATAAGAAGAATACATGACTCATGATTACACACCTGCTGCGTGGGCCTCCCCTCCATACACGCCAAAACCAAGGACGAACCTCGGCGCATCCCCAGCGAGCACATTAGCGCACCGTGTCGCTGTCATACGCCCCGTGGGTCAATCCACGGCGGGCGTGTTGGCCAACAAGATGCAAGTGCAACTGCCGCGAAGAGGCGACTCTGCTTCTTCTGGGACGGCGTTCGCCATTCCCATGGCAGAAGCACTCTGGCAGTGCGCCCCACACCCGGCCAGCAGTGTGCAGAGATCTACTGATCTCCTGGGTAGGGCCATCCATTCCCCGATCTGGTTCACGGTAATTACCGCTCCTCTTGTGTTTGGTGAGGCTTGGGCCTGCAAACATGAAGAAATGGACATGTCCAGGTGTTCAGGTGTGTCTCTTTGCATGAAATTCTTCAAACATGGTTCTTCATGAAACTTTCATCATGCTTCTTCCCAAAACCCGTACTGAAATTTGGTCACGCGACGCCTGAAGAACGCAACCTTATTGCATCGCAAGACACCGATAGATAGTCTTGTTGATGATGCACCCTGCAGCAGTTTCACCATGTTGTGGCCTCCCCTCCATGCACGCCAAAACCAAGAATAAACCTTGGCCCATCCCAGCGAGCACATTAGCGCATTGTCTCGCTGTCATACGCCCCGTGGGTAGATTACCTCACGGCGGGCGCGTTGGCCAAGAAGATGCAAGCGCAACTGCGGCGTGGCAGATTCAAATTGGCAGTGCGCCCCACACTCGGCCAGCAGTGTGCAGAGATCGATGATCTCCTGGGTAGGGCCAATTGTTCTTCAGAGTGATATTGTCTACGCTTGCTTTGGGGGTAGGTACATCATGTAGAAATTCATATTTTGAAAGTATTTGGAATGGCAAAGCGCAACGTTGCTCTTTGGCATACTGGAGCGATCGAGGTACTTTCCCATCATGCATCTTCATAAACATACAACGCTGTGCATACGCGACACTATAAGAAGAACACATGACTCATGATTCAACACCTGCTGCGTGGGCCTCCCCTCCATACACGCCAAAACCAAGGACGAACCTTGGCGCATCCCCAGCGAGCACATTAGCGCACCGTGTCGCTGTCATACGCCCCGTGGGTCAATCCACGGCGGGCGCGTTGGCCAAGAAGATGCAAGCGCAACTGCCGCGAAGAGGCGACTCGCCTTCTTCTGGGATGGCGTTCACCATTGCCATGGCAGAAGCACTCTGGCAGTGCGCCCCACACCCGGCCAGCAGTGTGTAGAGATCTACTGATCTCCCGGATAGGGCCAGCCATTCCTCGATCTTGTTCGCGGTAATTGCCGCTCCTCTTGTGTGTGGTGAGGTTTGGACCAGCGTTCGGGATGAACTGGATACAGTTGTCTTCTTGCTTGCAACTCTTCAAAAATGGTAACATGGTCTCATGTTCATGTGACTTTCATCGTGCGCCTTTTCCAAAAAACACGTACGGGGCTGGCATGCCGACCCCTGAAACATGCAACATTATTGAATCGAAGACACCAATAGTGTTGCTGATCATGTACCCTGCAGCAGTTTCACCATGTTGTGGCCTCCCCTCCATGCACGCCAAAACCAAGAATAAACCTTGGCCCATCCCAGCGAGCACATTAGCGCATTGTCTCGCTGTCATACGCCCCGTGGGTAGATTACCTCACGGCGGGCGCGTTGGCCAAGAAGATGCAAGCGCAACTGCGGCGTGGCAGATTCAAATTGGCAGTGCGCCCCACACCCGGCCAGCAGTGTGCAGAGATCGATGATCTCCTGGGTAGGGCCAATTATTCTTAGCATGGCGAAGCGCAACATAGCTCCGTGGCACACTGGAAGTATCAAGGTAATTTCCCATCATGCATCGTCATAGCATACAAGGCTGTGCTTACGACAAACCATTAGATTCATGATTAAGCACCTGCTGAGTGGGCCTCCCCGCCAAGCACGCCAAAACCAAGGATGAACCTTGGTGCATCCCCAGCGAGCACACTAGCGCATCGTGCCGCTGTCATACGCCCCGTGGGTCAATCCACGGCGGGCGCGTTGGCCAAGAAGATGCAACCGCAACTGCCGCGAAGAGGCGACTCGCCTTGGCAAAGGCACTCTGGCAGTGCGCCCCACACCTGGCCAGCAGCGTGCAAGAGATCTACTGATCTCCTTGGTAGGCCCATCCATTCCTCGATCTTGTTGCGGGGTAATTTCCGCTCCTCTTGTGCTTGGTGAGGCTTGGGCCTCCAAACATGAAGAGTTGGACACGTCCAGCTCCGCAGGTGTCTCTTTTTGCATGCGATTATTCAAACATGGTCTTCTCATGCTCATTTTGCTTTCGTCGTTTGCCTCCTCCAAAAAAGAGTACTGAGTTAGCCACGCAAACGCCAGAACAAACGTAACAGTATTGAACCGCAAGACTCCAATTGTGCTTCTGACCATGCACCCCTGCAGCGGTTTCGTCGTGCTGCGGCCTCCCCTTCATACACGCCACAACCAAGGATGAACCTTGGCGCATCCCCAGCGAGCACATTAGCGCATCGTGTCGCTGTCATACGCCCCGTGGGTCAATCAGCCCACGGCGGGCGCGTTGGCCAAGAAGATGCAAGCGCAACTGCCGCGAAGAGGACTCGCCTACTTCTGGGATGGCGTGGGCCATTCCCATGGCAAAAGCACTCTGGCAGTGCGCCCCACACCCGACCAGCAGTGTGCAGAGATCGAATCTACTGATCTCCTGGGTAGGGCCATCCATTCCTCGATCTTGGTTCACGATGTTCACGGTAATTACCGCTCCTCTTGTGCTTGGTGAGGCTATGGCCTCCAAACATGAAGAAACGGACACGTCCGGGCGTTCAAGTGTGTCTCTTTGCGTGCAATTCTTCCAACATAGCTGTTCATGAAACTGTCATCATGCTTCTTCCAAAAAACACGTACTGAATTTTAGTCACGCAACGCCTTAAAGATGCAACATTATTGAATCGCAAGACTCCGAGTGTTTTTGACCATGCACCCTGCAGCAGTTTCACCATGTTGTGGCCTCCCCTCCATGCACGCCAAAACCAAGAATAAACCTTGGCCCATCCCAACGAGCACATTAGCGCATTGTCTCGCTGTCATACGCCCCGTGGGTCGATTACCTCACGGCGGGCGCGTTGGCCAAGAAGATGCAAGCGCAACTGCGGCGTGGCAGATTCAAATTGGCAGTGCGCCCCACACCCGGCCAGCAGTGTGCAGAGATCTATAATCTCCTGGGTAGGGCCAATTATTCTTCAGGGTGATCTTCTTGTCTGCGCTGGATGTTTTGCCAGTACTTAGCATGGCGAAGCGCAACATAGCTCCGTGGCACACTAGTATCGAGGTAATTTCCCATCATGCATCTTGATAACATACAAGGCTGTGCTTACGACAAACCAGTAGATTCATGAATAAGACACCTGCTGAGTGGGCCTCCTCGCCAAGCACGCCGAAACCAAGGATGGACCTTGGCGCATCCCCAGCGAGCACATTAGCGCACCGTGTCGCTGTCATACGCCCCGTGGGTCAATCCACGGCGGGCGCGTTGGCCAAGAAGATGCAAGCGCAACTGCCGCGAAGAGGCGACTCGCCTTCTTCTGGGATGGCGTTCACCATTGCCATGGCAGAAGCACTCTGGCAGAGCGCCCCACACCCGGCCAGCAGTGTGCAGAGATCAACTGATCTCCTGGGGTAGGGCCATCCATTCCTCGGTCTTGTTCGCGGCACCGCTCCTCTTATGTTTGGTGAGGTTTGGACCTGCATATGAAACGGACACAGTTGTGTCTCTTTGCGTGCGACTCTTTAAACATGATCCTCTCATGTTCATGTTACTTTGATTGTGCGCCTCTTCAAAAAAACGTACAGATTTGGCTACGCGAACGCCAGAACAAACGTAACAGTATTGAACCGCAAGACTCCGATTGTTCGTCTGACCATGCACCCCTGCAGCGGTTTCGTTACGCTGTGGCCTCCCCTCCACACACGCCAAAACCAAGAATAAACCTTGGCCCATCCCAGCGAGCACATTAGCGCATCGTGTCGCTGTCATACGCCCCGTGGGTCAATCAGCCCACGGCGGGCGCGTTGGCCAAAAAGATGCAAGCGCAACTGCGGCGTGGCAGAAGCAAATTGGCAGTGCGCCCCACACCCGGCCAGCAGTGTGCAGAGATCTATAATCTCCTGGGTAGGGCCCATTATTCTTCAGGGTGATCTTCTTGTCTGCGCTTGCCTTGCAGGTGCGTACGTCATCCAGGAATGTACCTTCAGCAACTCTTTCATAGTTAGCATTGCAAAGTGCAACATAGCTTCATGGCAAACTGGAGTTATCGAGGTACATTCCCATCATGCATCTTCTTCAATCATACAAGGCTGTGCTTATGCAACACCAAAAAAGAAAACATGATTCATGATTAAACACCAATGCATGGGCCTCCACTCCACACACACCAAAACCAAGGATGAACCTTGGTGCATCCCCAGCGAGCATATTAGCGCATCGTGCCGCTGTCATACGCCCCGTGCTTCAATCAACCCACGGCGGGCGCGTTGGCCATGAAGATGCAAGTGCAACTGCCGCGAAGAGGCGACTCGCCTTGGCAAAAGCACTCTGGCAGTGCGCCCCACACCTGGCCAGCAGCGTGCAGAGATCTGCTGATCTCCTGGGTAGTGCCATCCCTTCCTCGATCTTGTTTCGGGGTAATTACCGCTCCTCTTGTCTTTGATGAGGCTTGGACCTCCAAACATGCAGAATTGGACACGGCCAGCTCTGCAGGTGTCTCTCTTTGCGTGCGATTCTTCAAACATAGTCTTCTCCTGCTCATGTTGCTTTCATCGTGTGCCTCTTCCGAGAAAAAAAAAAGGCTGAGTTGGCCACGCAAACGCCAGAACAAAACAACGTTAAACGTATTGAACCGCAAGACTCCGATTGTGCTTCCGACCATGCACCGGTTTCGTCATGCTGCGGCCTCCCTCCATACACGCCAAAACCAAGGATGAACCTTGGTGCATCCCCAGCGAGCACACTAGCGCATCGTGCTGCTGTCATACGCCCCGTGTTTGAATCAGCCCACGGCGGGCGCGTTGGCCAAGAAGATGGAAGCGCAACTGCCGCGAAGAGGCGACTCGCCCTTTGGGACGGCATCGAAGCACTTTGGCAGTGCACCCCACACTCGGCCAGCAG